CATTTTACACTGTAACCAAATGTCTGTGAAGCGTTTTCCCGTGCCTCATCTCATTTGATCCTCACTGAAGTCCTGGTGTAGGTACATAGGAGACTCAGTGGAATCCTTTTTTTTTTTTCATTAGCCAGAAAAACAGAGATTTAGAAAACTTAGAAACTTGACCTGACTGAAAAGAAGTAAGAAATGGTGGACCTTGAAAATGACTTCAGGTTTTCTCACTGTGAAGAATATAATCAAACACTGCTGCAGTTAAATATTTTACCCTTTGTTCTCCCTGAGTGATCTACAATAATAATATGCTTCGTGTTGATATTTACTGCTGTGTTGCTGACAATTACCTGAAAAAGAAGTTGGGGTGCTTCACTGGACTGAAAAAAGTTTAGCTAAATCAGAAAGCAGGTCTAATTAAGCAAGTTTATTCTATATATATAAAAGGCTAACTTGACTCACACATGCATGATACATATAAAGCTCTTGCTGGCGCCAATCGCATGTGTGTGTTTCGATCTGTCATTGTCAATCATGAATTTGGATGACATATCTATTATAGAGAAAGGGCAAATAGCAATATTAAAATATTTCTTTAACTAATTTCCTTTCGATGTGCATGAATTCATGCACCGGGTCACTAGTTAACTATAAAACACAAAACAATACTTACAGTGTGATCCTGTTGGTTTTCAGGAACTTTATGTGAAATATTAGATCAGTAGAGAAAAAAAACACACCAAAATGGGATTACTTGGAGTAAACTTTATTCCTTTTATCTCTGATCTCTAAATTTTTTACAAACATTAGACATAAGAAATAAAACACTAAAAATGTTCATACAAAAAAAAAGGAAACCTTTTGAATTTGAAACCCTGAGTTCCCCCAGCTGACTTAAGCCTTGCTTCCCTTCCTGCATCCCAAGGCCTCTAAGCTGCCACCTAGCTATTTTTATTACACCCACAGCTCACCCAGGGCTGATGCCAGGGCAGGAATTTTAATTCCTGGAAAGTTGCTCTAGAGACAAAGAGCAGGAGTGGCAAGGGATTTCCCGTCAGCAGTCCCAGCTGGCATCATTTCTGGACTCTGAAGTCATCAGCAGCTGAGTCAGAGCCCTCAAAGGGCATGACCTGAAACCTCACCCACCCTGCGGCACACCTTTGGAGAAACCACCCACCCTTGCCCCTACCCTGGCCTCACTCCCTCTTCCTGCTGCAGGATCCTAACAACGGGAGGCAATCTCATGGAAGACCTCTCCTATGGCCGATCCCACGTTCATGGTTAAGGGGATAAGATTTTAAAAGCCAAGATTTTTCTCATCTTCCCCAGCTCAGAGGAATGAAAGCTGGAGACCAATGCACTAGTCAATAGTGGTCACTGCTCCCTCCAGCTTGGGATGAACCCAAAAGCAATTCCCAGATGGCTGGAGGTTTATTCAGACACATGGTCAGGAGGCTCCAGTTCACTCTGCAAGGGATTTCCAAGTGACCCAACCTAGAGCTCAGCCACTCCCAGAATCACAGCCCATCCCCTGAAATGCAGAAGCTGGCCTTGCCAGAACTGTTGTCCATAGCCAGAAAACCTGCTGGCTGGTGATTCCTGGGATCTCTGGTCACTGGAGGTGACCGGCCCCAGCTCTCCTAGCGAGCAGCCCGCCAGAAGCTCCGTAAAGGTATGGGGTTTCTTGGCCTGGATTCAGAGGACAGGGCAGAGCAGTCACAAGCCCCACGTGAAAGCACACAAGGCAACAAGCCCCTGGTTTGCAGTGCTGCTCTCCCACTCGGACTGGGTGGGGGTGGGAGGGGTGAGTGTGATCACTAGAGTGATCATATAATCCATTGTCCAAATGGGACATTTTGGAGCATGAAAGGACATGCCGTTAATAGCTATGCCAGGCCCTAACTGGTTTGGCTTAATGGATAGAGTGTCGGGCTGCAGACTGAAGTGTCCCAGGTTCGATTCCGGTCAAGGGCATGTACCTTGGTTGCAGGCACATCCCCAGTAGGGGGTGTGCAGGAGGCAGCTGATCGATGTTTCTCTCTCATCGATGTTTCTAACTCTCTATCCCTCTCCCTTCCTCTCTGTAAAAAACCAATACAAATATATTTTTAAAAAATAGCTAAGCCAGGATAACATGTCAAACAGGAAAACCCCAGACAAACGAAGATGTGTGGTGACCCCAGAAAACATCTTCCACTCCTGGAGCCAGGGTGGGGGACTGCGGCTGGAGTGGTGGCCTGTTCTCTTCCAGAACATGTGCCACCGAAGAAAGTCTACTTTCCAAACGGAACCAGGGCCTCGTTCAGCAAGCTCCCGGGCATCCCAGGAGAAGAAGAGGAACCACAGAAATGTGGGCAGGGCCCTTCTCTGTCTGGTTCACCACTGCACCTCCTGGGCCAAGAATAGTGCTTGGCAGGTTGCAGGTGCTCAGTAAATATTTGAATGAATGAATGAATGAATGAATGCCTGAGCAGTTTCTAAAGTCACCTGAACCCCAGGAAACCAGAGAGACTTGGCAATCTTAGGAAATACACAAGGGTTTGAACTCTAAATTGCTGTAAAAATCTAAGGCACTGCATAGACTGCCATGCATTTCCCTTTGGCAGAGTTTATAAATATGCAATGTACAAAGCTTTCAAATACCAGATGAACCAGATAAGCTTCTACAAATAAACTCATTAGGAACAATTTTTTTTTAAGCCACTGCTGAACTAAACTGGAACTATCTCCTGCCATATTTCTCATGGGAACTTATTCAAAAATTTCAAGGCCCAAATTGGGACTGAATGAAGCAAATGCTTACCACACACATCAGAATTCCTCTAGCCCCCTCCTCACCGAGTGTGAGTTCTCTGGGAAGCAGGTGCCATGGCAGAATTACATTTGCAAGAGACTTCATGGCTGGGGGGGGGGGGGGGGGGAGGGTCTGCGGAGGCTAACGGAGAAGGGAGGGAGGGTTCTCCCACCATGAATCAGCTGGGACGCCTGGGAAAAGGGGAGGGACTGGGAGCATCCCAGACCTGATACAGCTCTAAGAAAGTTTCAGCCAAGTTGATGGGGAATCCTGGAGCCAAAGTTGCCCTGTAGAGAAGCCCTGGATCCTACAGCACTGGTATCCCACCGCATCCCGTGGTTTGCGGGGAGGGGCGGGGGGGGGGGGCGGC